TTTTTTTTTTTTTTTTTAACTTACTCATTGATTTCGTTATTACTTTCTCTTTTTCTTTCTTTGTCTTCATTTTTTCACACGGCTACTCTTACCTCTCTCTTTCATTTTCTTTCCTTTGTGATTCGTTGATGTATCAATATTGACGTTTCAACTGAAATCCAACTCCTGAACTCGTTCATATTTTTCGTTTCAACTGCATTCCGAATGCATTCGAAGCCGATGGCGCAACTGATGCGCCGTTTGAAATATTTACGCGGTGACTGAGAGTGAGAAAAATGTCAGCTGCGATGAGGTTCGACGTGACGATCTATATGACAATGTGACATGTGTATGCAGCCAGTGTGTTGAATCATTCGATTAACTTTAGAATGAAATTATCATTTTTTCGTTTCAGATTTGAAAAAGTCGCTCTCGAGGATGCAGCAAGGAATCGTATCATTCTACATACTGTTGATCGTCGCGGGTCTTTTTATATCGACGAATGCTGCACCGTAAGTCTCTCATTTGTCGCAATCAATTTGTTCATCTGTTTTTTTTTCCCCCGCGAATTTGATCAGCAAATCAATTGTTCGATATTTTTTTAACATTTATCGTAAACCAATACATACTCAGAGATGGGAAAATGTATGACACAACGCGACGCTACTAACCAAGAGACAAGATGTGACAAGAGCTACAACGAGCTGTATGATTCACATATCAGGGCAATGTAGATAGAAATACGAATCAGTGCAGATGTAACGTATGTTAAAGAAACGAAGAAAAAAGGATACATATGCACACAGGCTAGAAGAAAGACGCATCTGGCAGCATCAGAAAGTTTAACCCAGTTTCAATTGACGAGACGTCGTTTAATGAGAGGAAACGATTCTTAGTGCTCTATCTAAAAGTAAAGAGACTGGCATTGTTACGGCTCTCCATTCGCATACGTATATAACCCAGAATGAGAAAGTTATAAATTCGATAGTTAAATGTCGTTAAAACGAGATGGGAATGCCGCGAACAATTCCAGTGCAAAAAAAAAAAAATACTTGGCCGTGTAACCAATGGAAACGTCACTGTTAGCATTGTACAGAAGCGCGAAGCTCGTAACATTTCTCAACTAGGTGCGAACGCTTCTGTTAAAAGACACTGACACTTTTATATTACAGACAACAAGGTTACTGGAGTCAATTCGACGAAGAAGATCCGGAAGCGCTAATGGAAATAATTCGGCTCGGTCACACTATGATCCGCAATCCGGAGCTGGAAAAGTAAGAGTAATCATTTTTAGAGAATTAATTATTATTCATAGAATTGATAATATTGGGTAGATTTTTTGATGTTGATGTAATAACATATCGTGGTCAGAAGGTGATCTAGATATAAAAATAATTTGAAAGGAAGGTTTTATTTTAGACTTTGTCTTCGAGAAAATCGAATAAAGCTTGAAAATTTATCAATATATTTAGTACAAACACGCGTAGTAATAATTTTTGCATAAACAATAGCCTACTGTTGATTATTCGTTCTTTTTTCGATGATGAATGTACATGATAAAATAAATTTAAAAAAAATGTCACATAAATCTACATTCTGCATACTTAAGTTTTCGAGTTGCAGATAATTGAAGAAAATGTTCAATGTGCCTCGACACATGTTACTGCGCATATCTTAAATACAGTATACCTAAACTGTATCTAATTTTACAAAAATATCCATCGATACGAGTGATGAGACTATTGAAGAAATATTTATTATTTTCGAGCAAATTTATTCATGTGTACCTATACTTTCAATAAAATTCAAATATTCAGCGCTTTAATTGTAAAAGCTCCGCGTTTTGATTATTGTTTCTGGCTTCTTCTTGCAGTAACAAACGAGGACTGGATCTAGGTTTGAGTCGCGGGTTCAGCGGGTCTCAAGCGGCAAAACATTTAATGGGATTAGCAGCGGCGAATTATGCCGGAGGTCCTGGTCGACGACGTCGTTCCGAACAGCCCTAGATCAAGAAACACTGGTTCGCTTGATTGATCTCATTTCGATCTCAAGCTTTAACATCATAAATGTTTACTTACACACGAATTCGTTCGTTCGTCCGTTCGTTTCCCTGTCTTTTGCCTCTGCTGCAGAACAAATTACAAATCTGGTAAATTTCAAATTTATTTTAGCCTCTGCAAGTTAGCAAATCAGATCTAAATTAAATCAATTCCTATGTTCGTACTTGTGATTAATCATTTCTGCCTCACGTTCCTATATTTTTTTTTTTTTTTGTCATCTTTTCCCTACATGTCTTATTTCTTTAATGCATCGAGACAGTAGGATGTTAGATCGGTTACAATCTAGTCATTGTTCTAGTCGTAAAGTTATTTCATTCGTGTATGTATTCGTGCGGTTTATAAACACACATACGAACTTCTGAAATGAATAGTGAAATAATGTGACAAAGCTACTATTCACAATCCAGTGTAATTAATCCCTCCAAGCATTGGATATATCAACTGTTATTATTGGAAGCTTAAACATGTTTAAATAGATAAGTTCTATAATTTATCCTTGAATCAATTAGTTTTCAATCGTGTAGATTCGACGAAGCGACATTTTACACCTGTTGTCACTTAATATCTATGCAAAAATAATCTCATTCGCCAAGGGCGTTTTCGCATTAGCAAACTGACATCGATGTCTATTGTTCATCTAGCTTAATAAATACATTATGTTTATTTTCTTCCCAACTAAACACATCGATTGTATTTTTGAACGAATGCTATTCGTTTCAACCATCGGCGTGTGAATACGCTGTTTTATCATATGTAAAATTAAACGAAAATAAATCCAATACACGTATCCTGCGTTTCTG